ATCGTTTTTATCATTAATTTGGTTCTAGGCTCTTATTTTTGCTTGCAGCATTTAATGTGTAGCATGAATTTAGTACCTAGATATCTATTTATGTCGATCTTATAAAAGTCCTATGAATATTTCTGAAGTGGTTTATGGTTCGATTTGAACCCATCCCATCCACCTTACCTGATGGTTCAAATCTTCAGACGGTCGTTTACTATCTTGAAATTAACAGCACTTTTTACCCCCTAAAAAATTTCACATGTAAGCTCTAGCAAAATTAATTTATGATTTTATGGAGAATTGGTTCGGAATAAGTCACATGTGGTAAAAATTGCATTCTTCATAGTTTAGAAGTTTACATTAGGCTTGTTGTTTTGAGAAATGCATACTTCCGACAGTACAAGTGGCTTTTCTAAGTATTCCACTCAACTTGTAACCATGTAATTACATATAGATAGTAGTAGTGTTACAGTCATGGTGATCAATATAATCTCATTTTGCAAACAAAAGATATAGAAAAACATGCTTACAACTAATGAGAGTATTTCTTGAGTTGTAATTGTTCACAACAGCATTTCGCTTCATGACATTCGTTTTAAATCAAGTAAATTATGTCTCATACACCATAACATATATATCAAGCTAGAAGCAGGTGGTAATTGTACTACGTTACTCACAAACAATCACTTTTTAGCATAAATAGGTTGTATCTCACAACAGGATCTAGCCCGTTATCCATCAAACTAAAGTTCACATACCCATCAATTTTGGAGTTTAGAGCGAAATTTCCCGGGTTCAAGTCTCATTGTAAATATAAACACTGCAATACAAATGCATTCGGTTGACGAGTCATAAATAGTACGAAACGTGCGTCTAAGATTCTACTGTTGGCTACGATCTACCTATTCCAAAACCTTGTTCTAAAATAGTTAAATTGAGGCAATCCATTCAAGATGTAATCGTGCCACCAAAAGATCGAAATTCAGTTCTAAATATTTGAACGAAAAATATTTTTCTCTATAATTTCTCTTCAGGTTCTACCATTAAATATCCAAATTAACAATTACTAGTTTGGATATATAATTGTAGAACCTGAAGAGAATTTATCGAATACAATATTCTTCATTCAAATATTAGTCTTTTAATATGATGAAGATCTTTAAACGATCAATCATAAATGTCACCAACAGGATAATTCAAACTCTTACTACTAACCATAAATCTTAAAACCAAGGGCGTTTTCTATTTTTTTTTCGTTTGAAATATTATTTTCATTTGTTTCACATATTTTTTGTTAAATCATTTTAAAACAAGGTATTTTGTCTGTCATAAATAAATTCATCGGATGGACAGCTTATCATTTGACAATCTTAGTATAGTAATCCTTTTTTTAAGTTTAATTAATTCTAACGTTTCACTGTTGTTTTAAATTTGTGGTTTTGCATATTTTTTGTTTTGTCAGGATTTTAGTTCATCTAACCTTTCAACAGGCTTGCTTTCTTCGTCCTCTACTCAACATCTTTTTTGTGAGGCATCTAAACATTTATTCACTTCTAAAAGTATGCTTCAATGCTATTGATTAATAAATTTAGTCCAAAATATGTGTATTTCTCCGATACAAATGAAACAACCTACACGAGAGATAATATCAAGTAATTCAAACACCAAAGATGTTCAGGTAATTTTTATTAAATAATGCGTTGATTGTCTTTTTTCTTTTGCCATAGCTTTCACCAGATAATATCTTAAACGTGAAAATATTCTTTACTCCACGTCGATTAAATCATCTTTGAATTCAATAGTAATTTTTACTCTCAACTACTCTGATTGTTTCTTGTCTCATTCGCACCACTGTATTGAGATCTCTTTTCAATGTGAAAAAAATATTTTTTTACTCTTCTAGTATAGATAAATCAGTCAATAGAAATCCTGAACAGTTTCAATTCTTTTTTTATTAGTACTACTCAAAAATTTATTTGGCAATTAAGTACTTCATTGACGAGTGAGTATTCACCAAACTATTACTCGAATTAGTAGTATTAGTAGCAGTGAAAATCTATACGTGAAATGTTATCCCAAACATTGATTAACATGAACAGAAAAAAACTTGTTTCCTCAAGCTTTTAGTTAAAGCTGGATGTTATATATATGTAGTAGTAATCATATGAATTAACTCTTTGAATTTGTAGTCATCCAATATGTGACTGCCTGACGCCAACATTCTTCACTATCTAATTATTTACACACTTCTTATTACGCAATGATTTTAGTGTTTTGTTATGACTACTCCATTTACCCATGTTTGATCTACTATTTCCAATGTTTAACTATTGATAAGACTTTTTTATCGTATTTTATTATTCTTACCTACTATCGGTACTATCAGTAAATAGAACTTCTAACCAACCAAGTGAATATATATTAAGAAGTTAGGTTTATTGTTTCTGTTCAAGTGATTCACTCAGGATTATATAATTGAGTTAATAAGTTGTCACGAATTAACCAATAATCATTTCATATACATTATTCCCATTACTGATTTGAAGAAAGCAGGAACAGAATAAAGGAATTCATTTTATTTCTTCAAGTTCTCATCATCTGCTTACAACCTGTAATATTCCAAATAAAATTTAACATACTTGTAAATACCAAGCCGATTTAAATTCAGTGTGAAAGCATATCCGTACGATGTTTTTTTCCAAAACAAAGTTCTAAACTTAAAAATAACTTGTTTTATACCCGCATTTAATTGTCTTTCAGGAAACAGAAGAAAAACGAAGAAATGAATTACAGAAAAAGTTGACGGATAAACTGGGGAAGTCCAAAAGTAAAGAATTGAAAAGACATGGGATATTTCGGAAATGAAAAAAAATTTAATTCTTATTAATCATAAAAATTCCAACTTGTCTTTTTTTTCCTGGTTACTTATTAATCGCAGAAGTTGAGATATCGGGAATTCTTTGTTAGGTAATTGCCTATCGGAATTCAGTAAGTTACAAAAGTAGTTTGTGTGTTAGCAACATTTTGCACTCACTTATACACGATTCGCCTTTATAAGATTCTGTTTCTAACAATATTTTGATAATCATTCTAAATCGTAGGGAATAGTACTCCAAGTCGGATATAACACAGAAAGCATATTACTTACTTTACTTATGCCTGCTACTGCTCGTAAGCATAGGCAGCCGACCAGAAATCTCCAACCAACATTTTCCTTCCCAGTTGTTCTCAAGTGCTATTCATTCTTTTGATGTCTGCCTCCAATTCCTGACGCAATGTGTTCTTTGGTCTTCCTCTTTGACTTTTGCTTTCAGGACTCCAAGTTAGGGCTTGCTTTATGGTGCAATTCAACCATTTACGTAAAGTGTAACCTACCCACTTCCAGCATATTTATAATGAGTAAATTGATTCTTGTGATTTTAAAAGAGGCGTTCGATGTACTCTTTTATAATGTAAAATATTTACTTCCAAGATAAGTGAAGTTGTCGACGCGTTCGACTACTTCATTATCTATCCTCAGTTCAGGTGTTAAAGCAGGCCAATCCTTAAGCAACAACTTGCATTAAGAGGGGGAGAAACACATCCCGAACATCCTGGTATTGTTGCTTAGTGCTATCAAAAGGCTCTGCATTTTATCAGCCTCTTGGTGTCTGACGAAATCTCAACACGGATTCATGAAGCTCGTTTGGCTTTTGTCAACTTACGTCACCTATGGTGAAGGCGAGATATCCATCTATCAATAAAAGGATGAGTATATTGCACGGCAGTTCGTTCTGTTCTACCTTACGGCTATGAAACATGTCCATTAAGAGTATAGATACTCGTAAATTACTAGTATTTGATCACAGATGTCTTAGAAATATAGCTCACATCTTCTGGGATCACCGGGTAAGTAATAGTGAAGCTAGACTCAAGGTATTAGGGAATGATGGTAAATTAGTCAACAAAGTTGTAAATCTTCACCGACTGAGATGGTTGGGCCACGTGTTACGTATGCCTGAACACCGATTACCACGACACGTAATGCTAACTAGTGCTGGTAGAAAGTTAGGGGCTGCCAAACCAAAACGGCATCAGTCCATAAAATCACTAACTTCTGATCTGAACCATGTTGGTAGATGCACACTATCGTAACCAATGGTTGAAGACTGGGGGACAATGACGGTGATGAATACTCTTTGCCTTTCCTTAAACCATGAGATTAAAATTACTTTATTTCTACGAACTAATTCTTCCTTCCTGTATTATAATATCCTTATATGCAATCTTTCTTTTATGGATTTCTACCATTGAGGTGACTTTATGACTTTGGTGTTCATCTTGTTGTGCTAATGAGGTGTGGCAACTTGGGCCGATGCATATGTGACTGGTCCTACGTTGTAGCTGACTGAAATATTTACTACTTAGATAAGCATACGAATACATGTACTTCGATACGAGTTTTTGCAGAATATGAAAATTCTAACATGCTAATATTTTCACTGGTATTTCTTGAAATGATCAGTGATTAGTCATGGAGTTTACGATGGAAGGTCGATATCGATGTAATTTATCCAAATACAAACTCGTTGATCAATGTTACTGACTTATGCATTCACACCAGTAAGGATCGAAATTTACATTCAGGAATTTGAGATCTATTCGCCAAAATGATGACAGAATTTATTAAGTTAATGGATTGAAGCGTTAGTAAAAGTATAAACGCAATTATGATAAGTTAAACTAGTCTTAGTGACAGATCCTCACCATAATTCCCGACGGATTAGTATTGTAGTGAACAGAACACCAATGTAGACAACCAGATGTATTTGATAACAAATTACAGAACTAGTTAGTAAAATCTAACAACCATATATTAAATGCTCCATTTGTAAAATGTTTATCAATTGTCTCAAATGACTCAGAATTCCTTTGTTCTTGCATTTTCATACAAATTGCATTCTTTCTTCATCATTTATTGTTCGATCTTCTCGTCTCTCTGCTGCCAGACATCCTGCTCACGACTCACGTCATATACTACTTATGTCTACATAAGTAGTACACACAGTATGAGCAATTCAGCATATTATGGTTATTTTTTAATTAGTAAAGAAACTAATACAAAGTCTCACTATTCTTGAGAAGACTACATACTTTTCTCCAGTTCTATTTTTGAATCATCCCGTAGTATATAGTGACCGAAATCAGTGATACGGCTTAAAGTGGTTAGTTGAAATGAGGTTTAGGATGTACTGTCCATACAAAGTACCCATGTATCGCAAAATAAATTTTGATACAGATAAACTTTTACCAATTACAAATAATTAATTTCTACAGAATTTTCAGTCAGTTCAACAACGCGAGTCAATTTTCACGTGATGAAAGAGCTCTTGAATTTTCGGTATGAAGCGTAAGGCGGCAGAACCATGTACACAGAAGGTACTGACTCATTGTATCTGGGACCGTTTGAGGACAATCAAGATTGTTTCATACTGACTATCACCGGTCAAAAACATCAAAACTTCGGTTTACAAATAAATATACTATGAACATTACGCTTGACTCTAAGCGGAAATACTTTATGTGATTGTTTCTTAAACCATTCGATCGGTATTAGCGCTTGTCAGGATTCTGATGCTTGAAAAGTGTTTATACAATTAAGGTGATCAAAATGGTTTTACATGAATATTACCACACTTCACTATATTCTTTATTTATGTACATTTAAAAAAGCAACTCGATCATGTTAATTATGCATATTAAATAAGCCTGTTTTATTTTACATGGAGTGTTTTTTATATTACACGGAACTATACAAAAAATAATCGAAGATGGTAAAGTAAAAATCAAGTATGATGGAAACATCAAGAAGTTGAAAATACAGAAATTATACATTAAGTATGCAAGATCATATTGAAAATTTACTTCTTGTTTTCAAGTTAAATTGACAAATTTACAAAAAAAACTTATTTTAGAAAGACTAACCGTATGGTAGAGGCCAAAAACATGGATATCTGTGTAATGAAGAATCGACTTTTAAGTGGATAGTCTTAAATCACGATGTTACATTATCCGTTGAATATGTTTCATTTATATGTGGATTCATACTAAACTGTTCTAGAAAGGCTTGTTTAACAGACATCACATGCCGTGCAAGACGTACAGCATCATTCCAGCGTAAACCAACTAGTCTATGCAGAACTGGTAAAGTTAGTAACATAAATGCTTGCCCATCTACAGCTTCCGCTGCAAGCCATGGCCACATTTCTCGACAATCAGTACTGCCAAGATATGAAGCTAAGTCGACAGGTGTCCAAAACATAGGATTGCTTGGTAAAATTACTCTTGGAATATTACAGAGCCACGAGTCAATATCTCTTTCCATTAGCGGAATATGATTTGGAGGTAGTTGTGCAGTAACTGGATTGTTACTATGTGAAGAATTCGGAATGCTGGGTACGGTTAAGCAGTAACTCGATGGGGCGGCTGATAAATGATTCAGATGCCATGAATGCTGCAAGTTAGGGACAGGAGGGATGTGTACATTTTTCAGGGTATCAAAGGCGGCAGTACACGCGGGATGGCTGTGTGATTCACGAATGGGTGATGTCTGATGATTTACCATAGTTGTATCCGAATTGATGATACGCTTTTTGCCTGCTGTATTGACAAAGTTAGAGCGGACAGATTTTTTTGATCCAGTACGCCCATTGTTAGTGTTTTTCAAACCATTCGAGATATTTTCAATATCATGTTCTGTGGAGTTTTGTGAATAGTTTTGATGCTTTCGTTTGGCTCTGTTCACAAGGTTATTATTCTTTGAATTAGGAACTTTACAACTATTTGACTGAAAAAGGGATTGTGATTCAAGCCTATTAACCCAATTTAAATTATTTTGTAATGTTGATGCAGATCGAGTGACATGACTGTTGGGAGCACCCGAAATAATGCGATTCTGATCACTATCAAGATAAAAAGAGTCAGTAAATGCACGTAAGGCAGTTAGACGCCTTTTCCATCCTGGAAGACGATCAAAGTAACGCGAACGCAAACGGACATTACAGAAAGACGGACAGTCGTTAATCGAAGAAATATTTTCAGTAGAGATTTGAGATACATTTAGGTTAGGGATTATTCCACTTGTTTCCTGTAAAAAGAGACTATCAGTATCTAATCCATTGACAGATGGTGATATTACTGACTTTGATTCTTCTGGTAATGGAGGAGGAACAAGACTGAGGAGATGTGGACATGCTTCAAAAACTAGAGAGATCTATAAAATTATTAAGAGAAGACAAAAGGAAATATATAAAATTGACTACAATCAAAATAGTAATGAAATATAGTTTCCCAGTATAGTCACTTTTAAAATGATTGTTTGCGTACTTCACACTTACTTTTGAAGGAATGTACATTACCTATACTTAATATTTTGGAACGCTAAAAACATTTACAACTTCAGTTCTTTGACTGATCTATGCACAACATAATGAATGGTGTGTAATAGGAGTTTGAAAAAGAGATTATTGCGTGGAAAAAAATAGTCCAGTTTTCTATAAGAACGTTTTCTGGCCATAAACACCAAGTAAAAATACATGACTAGATAGATGTATAGAGGTCGTGGGAGGGTAGTTCCAGTCATAAAACCGACAAATGTTATGTTTGAACAGGTCTCAATGGGATTGTTAAGTACACTTTTATATCGTTTCAATCTTAAGCAGTTTCAAAGTAGCGCAAAATCCACCTCCTTTGAATTAGATCAAAGATGCAGGCTTCATAGTTAACTTTACGAAACTGACCTTTTACAAACAAGAGAAGCCAAATTGTGATGTATTTAATAAAGAGAAGGTAGGTAAGCTGAATAACTAACAGCATCACTACAATTTTCATACAAAACATTGCTTCTGATAGATGTAGCTCTTCAGCAGGTTTTACTGGTACGACTGTTGAATAGGTTGATTTGTCTACTTACTGTATAGGAAAAATTTGTGCTAATAACATTTTGATAATTATTTCAGGACTAAGAAAGTGGTAAGAACAATTAAGGATCTTTGCAAAGACAATAATGCTAAGTGATTTAGACAATACCGAAATATATTATAATAAACTAGTGATGAAAATACTGGGGTCTCAACGATGTTTTAATGCGATCCAATTGTCACGAACAAAAGTCAACATAAAATAATCTCAAGAGATATGATTTATTTACCAAGCAAAGGTTGGTTTGTGTATTCTGCTTCAAGGCATATTGTTGGTGAGAAAGCTAAGTGATAATCCTCGATAGCTCAGACCAAATTAGGTGGAGCTGGTAATTCATTTTTTGTATTATTTGTTTGAATCTTCACATTGATGTTTAAGACTGCAATTGATCAGTCTTATTTGGCATACGTGCATCCTGTGTAGATTGCCTCGATATTTGCCTTAAGCAAAAACGGATGGTGGCTGGCAGTGGACTTAAGGCAATATCGAGGTAATCCGGACAGGATGCACATATGCCAATAATAGACTGATCGACTGCAGTTCTAAACGTCAGTGGGAAGATTCAAGCAATATATATATATATATATATATATATATATATACTAAAGTTTACTAAATTAAGAAATCTATGGTAAGTTTATGGTTTTTCAAGAGGAAAATTATGTCCTACGTACAAGACTGGAGGATAACAGTTTAACCAGCTCTACCTATTTTTGTTCTGCTGACCAAGTATCACTATATCTGAATAGTGGATGTTGTCAAAAGCCTAGTAAACATGTATGAAGATGGGAACTGATTTATACAAAAAATATGGTTAGGACAACTAATCCATACCACTGGATATATTCTATCAAACTATTTTAGCAGGTTAAAAAGTTTATTTGTATACGGTAAAACTTTGTGTATGGCTTACAATGACACTTAATTTTATTTCATTTGACAATGTTGAGTGATTTTTTTCTGATAGCTCTTAAAAAGTGATCTCTATCGAACATACATGGTCAATACAATCAAGTAACTGCAGTTGGGGCAGATAAATTTATGTTTGATTTGCACAAAAAAGTGCTGAATAATCTAACAGATAGAGATAAACAAACACTAACTAGTTTCAGATTATAACGGTTATATTAAACGAACAATACGGTGAAGTCGAATTTAGTCACGTGTTGGAAACATGTCAATAAGTAGGTGTAAACAACTTGAGTACGAATGGTGAAGTCTAAAGGATAGGGTTTAAGCACTATGTATTTAGTCTCGATTTTAATGATAGTCAACCTATTTATAAAAAAAATGACAAGGCAACGCATTTCATTTTAAGTAAGATGTGAATACATACGTGTGTGTATGCGCCATATAATACATAAGAAGGTGAAAAACAACCTGTCTTTAGGCGGAATAATTTCTAGCTTATAATAAGAACTAAAACATGAGACCTGAAGGAAGAGCTATAACATGTTTACAACCGTTATTCAGAATAAAGGTAAAACAAAAGTTCTATTAGAACAATGTAACAATTGTATTTATTGGAATGGGCAAATGTCAATGATTAGATGAACTAAAACCACGAAACATCTATTTTCTCACCACAAACTGAAAGTTACCTGTCGACAATATTCTTCAACTGCTCTTGTTCGACAACAAACTTCTACTGGCACCTCAATTTTTATTCCTCGTCTAGGACATCTCACGCTAACTAGAACCACACGCATAGCTTCACGACGCTGTTCAATGACTTCTTTTTTAGCCTGTTGGAGAGAAGGATGAATGGTGCTTCGTACTCGAAGATTGTTATCTAGTTCAGTTGTTCCACAATCTTTGGTGTTCATCCCTGACGATTTGCGACCATTAAGAACAGACGCCATTCCAGTAACCCAATCAGCTTCGAACATTCGTAATACGCGCACAGGTTTATGGGCAGCACGGATCAAACGCGTAATTAAGCATTGCATCACTCTTGTTACTGAACCAGGACCGAATTGACGAGGAAGTAAGTCAAGATTAGACTGAAAAACACAAGTTTAAAATTTTTAGTTAAAACACTGGACCGAAGAAATGTTAATTATGATAGAATATTCACACGAAATAAGTCAAGAGTGTAAATTTAAAGCTATTTCTCCTTGTTATCATAAGAATATTTCACTTTTAAAGTTATCATGATTAGTTTATCTGATAACACGTGGAAATTTGTCAACTATCAATAAACATATTTGTTAACATAAACAAAGCTATGTTAAAAACTATTGAAGAGCAATCTACTGTCATCTTAGAGAATAGTACCGGAAAAATTGTTCTCACAAATAATAATTAAAAAATTATCACTTAGACTCTATGTTACTACCCTTTTTGGATACAGTTGAAGCATTCCAATAAATTATTTTTAATCAATATCTTACTAGTAAATGTTTTATATCAGTTCTGCTCCTAAAACCACTTTTTATGGAGTAAAGAATAAGTTAGATAATGTATTGTAAAGAATTTGTTTTGAATTACATACAATGGGAAAAATAAACCAATCCCTGGCAGTATCTTTCGCTTGAATCTATAGATATTTAGCATGTTAGTAAACGGTATGTGTTTTTAGAGAAGCTAGTCAATAAACAATGGTGTTAATATAAGTTATTAATTAGAAAACAAAGTGAAAATAAGAGAAATCATCGCAATGTTTGAGTAGAAGGTAGATAGATATCCCAGAAATTTAGTTAGGGCATAAAATAATTACTTTGAATTGCTATCAAGCTACTTAAAAGTTAATAAGTGTAGATAGTTCTCGGAATAGTAAAACTAACATTCAACCAAACCGTATAAACCTTGTCACATCGGAAGTAAAACCTAGGACTGTGCACTAAAAATACCTAATGATATTACCTGAACCAAACTTATTTTTCAACCGTTGTAAGCATTTTATTGGGAATAACTTATTCGAAATTAGGATGAATGATTGATGATCAAATTACTCTTTGGTTTGGACGACTTCTAAAACATTTCAAGATGGAATGAAATTTATGCCACTACTATGAGCAAAAGATGTTCGCTCGTCTCACATCCATAATTCATACAATAAATTCCTGGAAAAAACATAAGTCGAAAAAATGAAAGTAAACTGAAACCTGTCTAACAAATAATTTACAGATGAAAGCATTTCAAAATGCTTACTTTACATAAAAAGGGACCAAGGTAACATCTTGAATTGATATAAATGGGTGGACATATTTCCTCTTTGATATAGGGTATAATAAAACTTTGAAGTTCATGTGTAGGTTTGAAACCTCCGGGAATACAACAGTCCTTTAATTGTGTAGAGGAAGTAGTTGATTCTTCATTTTCATTATTGCTGTAAGATTTTTCTACATAAACTTCTGATGAAAAGCTTTCTTTAGTATCATAGCCACTTGGAGGAATAAGTGGATGACCAACAAATTCGGACCAACCAACAGGATACAAATCGGTAGATCGAGCATCTACTAATATCGGTCTACTTTGATAATGAGTTATTTTCTCATCATTAGTAAAATTTTCTATACACGGTATATCTGGAAGAAGCCATAATAAGTGAGGATATTCGACTCGTGTGACTGTAGCTGTACAAAGTGCAGGTCCAATATCACAATAATGAGCTTTTGAGCAAATAGATGCAGGTGGCACCATCTCCAACTTCATACCTAATAAAAATCTATTTGAATTTGTCTCATTCCTATCCGACTTATAATTGACATCATTTTCACTAGTCTGCCAACTTTTTGAAGAATACAATGAACTAAAATTTTGTTCAGAACTAGAATTACTTGAATTTTCTAATTTTTGAGCAGAATCAAATGCATGAGTCCCTTTGAAAATGGACTCTGAAGGACATACAGGTAGATCACTAATAGAAATTACTTGATTTACGTCTTTAGAAGATAAGTTTGTACAATGAAGTGTATTTATATTTGTTTTTGAGGTAACACTAATTGTGTTCTTAGTAAATTCATCTTGAATAAATACATTATTAGTGTTAATATCTTTAGATGTGGATTGATTAGTTAGATAATTGTTATGAGCAGATAGATAAGTGAGATAATTAGTCCAAGTAAAATATCTATTTATAGGCCAACCAGATGGTGGAAATAAATATATTCCTCTTAGTTGACTTTCATTAACTGGCATAATTTCCGGCATACCTGCATAAGCAACAAACTGAATTTTTAAAGAAAATAAATTTGAGTTAGCAATACTACTATCTTCTTTATCCAATTCACTTTCATTATGATTTAAGTTATCTAATTCTACGAGAAAATATCTTGAATTGAATACCTGTTGAATAAGATTACGAGAGAGAGAAAGAGAGTAGACTAAGTTAACAAGTATTTATTATTAATAAGAACTACTAAGAAAATAACAGAGATTTCAAGTTCACAAGCGATTATGTTTAAAACAGTCTAAATATTCAAACAGTACTTCTAACAAAACAAAATGAAAGTGAGGAGAAAATAAAATTCAGTTTGTGAAGATACCTAGGGGAAAATTTTACACTTTTGGAAATATATAAAGCATTAATATATGTTTCCAGACAGAAAGCCATATAAACTATATTACAAACTAAATTAAGGTATGAGTGTGTTTACGGTTAGAAATCTGCTATTGGTTACCATTAAATAGCCAATCAAACTTTGGTATATGCAACTATCACTAAAATCACCCTAAACCTGATAACAAAATGAGGTTCACAAAACCGAGTTGGAAGAGATATTCTTTTAATTTACGGAAACATTAGATCGCCTGCCTGATAAGAATCTACCTATATAGAAATAACACTAGAAACTAATTTTAACGTGATCAATGCATAGCATATCTGATATCTTAGTAAATAGAAGTGCATTTATTTGAACGGGACTTCGACAACTTGTTAATGAAAAAACTGTAAAGTAATCAGGTTTTACTTTCACTTTACTTTATAAAATGATTTCGATCTGAAACGTACACAGTTATTCAAATCAACCAAGCTTGTTAACTAGCTAGTCACGTATATATTTACTTGATATTTTCTTACTAGTATTCCTCGGTTTTTGGAAAAGTATCACAGAGTGGTGGTAACATTTAAGCTGCGAAAAAATCCTATGGAAAAATCTTATTGGGTACAGTTACGGGGGCGCTTACTTCCGAATCCGACATAAAGTCGAAGATATAACGTCTTATTATCAGGACGCGAGTTGTATGCAATCAAATTAACTAATAAAATAGTCTAAGCTAACTAATATAAACATGAAAACAAACCTTAACAACTGTGGCTGGCTGTACAAAATACGGTCTAAGTGGATTTACAGCTTCCAACTTCCACCCGACTTTGAATTCATGAAGAGGTTGGATATTGTTGTGGACAGAGAATATAGACTTGAGTAAGAGTGAGTCAACAGATTTAGAAAGGTCATTATAGGTAGCCGGACAAGCACCACGTATAAAAGCATCAATGTTTGAAATAGCACGTTCCAATACATAACCAGGAGGAGGACAATATTTGAGATCACACAACTTTCCGTAGCCAAGTGGGTGCAAGCGGCGATTAAGGTAAAACAGGGTGAATGTAGAAAATTTACGGCTTTTATCACATGCTTGTGCTTTTGAACTTGTTCCAAACCATGACAATAGAACACGTCCACCAATGTTCATAAGCACCTTGAGATAGTTAAATTTACAAAATATAAGCTCACCTTTGCAGGCCAAACACAAGTTGGATCAAGATCATGTTCACATTCGAAGTACCCCCCAACGCGAATGGTCTCAAAAGTGTACAAACAACGTCGGTCAAAAAAGGTATTGCAAACAGAACGACTCCGTAAACACGATGCCCAATCGGTATTTTGCCAACAGTTTTCTTGATTACTGAGATGAGAGATCTGACTTGGTGGAGTCCAGTTAGTGTTTTTTGATAAGCACCAACCGATTGGTTGCACAAAATCCCAACCTGGACCTTTAACATCAAACCAAAACGTGTTTTTTGAGGGATATTGAGATATAGTATGAGATGTGTCTGAAACGGGACATGTAGTTGTCTCAGATGAATATACTGCCGTCTCCGGTATGCACCACTTTAGCAAAATAAGATAGCCTGATACTAACACCACTTCAGCTGGCCACCAAGAATTTTGGATGTTTGCTTCCTTTTGTTCAGAAAAACCCTGAGAATTAACTTCAAGTGTTTCTCCTTTTTTAACAAGTGTCTCAAAACTATGGGCCACATGAGGAAACAAATTAAATGGTGAAATCTCAGCACCCGTCTCCGAAAGGTAAACATGCCAGTTGAAATTCATACTTGACATCACTTCGGAACTATTTAGTGTACCAATCACACTTTATTGCAAAGTTGATATACTTTCTTGGTGCGAGATGAAAGCAGACGAATCTATGGGAAAAATAAATATCTCACAAAGAGGTACTTGTGTATATACTTTCATATTTTTTAACTTTTACTCTGAAGGGTTGGAGCAATAGTTTGACAAGGTCACTAAGTACCTATAATATATCTAGTGGAATTATGATAACAACCTAACTCACCAGATAAATGTTTGGAAGCAATGAACCAAAATAGAAAAGAATTAGTTTTGTTTTACGCTTGGAAAAGTAATAAACCATCGGTCAATATCGTTCAGCGCACTGATTTAAGTGCCTAAAGTGAGAATAATAGCAGAAAATACATAAAAGGTTAAGTAACTTTTTAATGTCAGATGTATAGGAACATGAATAATAGATAAAAACATATTCATTTAGTTTTTTTAGAGCTAAAGCCACAAAATTTACAAAAACAGCCGAAGTGCTTGATCGACAACACTCCATTCTCATATTGGTATGAAGTGTGTGAGTGTTGGCTAAAAATGAATTTTGTGTAGGATGAGGACTAGTTGATGAAAATAATCAACAGAATGTACCTGGGGACCACTATAGATACTGATGCTTTGAACTATAGAACTACAATACTGAGGCTGAATGTATGGGACGTTGGAATTTTTTTAATTGACTGAAGTCACTTTGAGATCATCAAACAAGAAATTTATAGTAGTATCAAGTAAACTTTTAGAGCTAGATGCATCCATTGATTATTATTTCCTAAAAATAGTAAAACATCCATTTTTATTTTTTGACTTTGTCGCTTTTTTAGGTAAAAAAAGTTGGATATTTCAGGAAGATAAACACTGTATCTGGTTAGAATGCTGCTAAATATAGATGACCCAATAGAATGTTGAACATTACAATTTAATTCTTACACGATGACTTAGTGTTTTCCATATTACTGAGTGAAATCGTGTTACACCTTAGTTTCCGAGTCTTACTTTAATACGGATGCGGCAAAATATCTTTCACTTCAGAAAGTGTTATCTTCAAAGTTCTATTTTTCTAAAGTCTTTGTATGTAAACGGACATTTCATCATCATTTTAGATGTGTTAGTTTTTTTTCATATTTCTGAGGCACTTTTGTAATTTTGTCTATGGAACATTATCGGGAAAAGTTGTTGCCAACGTTTATATAGTTTTGAAATTAGGCTCAAAGTTCTGGACAAGGTTGCAAACCTATATCGACTGTAATTGACCCATGATTTACACCTACAATTGCACTACTTACTTGAAGCTGGGTTGCTGACTACATGACTAGATTTAAAAACTACTGAAAGTTGATAGATGAAAACATATTACTCGAACATAAACATAGCTGTTGGTTGTATTATTATTTATTTATTTGAACACATAAATATTGGTACAGGGGGGCACCAAATATATATGCGCCACACAAAACAGTGATAATTAGAAGAGAAGGAGAAAAGAGAAAAAAAAAAAAAAAGCTGTTGGTTGTAAACTTGAAGAATTTCTCGGTGAAGTAGTCAAGATGATAGAAGACCATAAGTGAGGAATAAAAGTCTCGTGTATTCATTTAATATTCACACCGAAAGCAATATACCACTATTTTGTCTGTACCTTATTTATCTAACTATTTATTTATTTTAACATAAATGTATTGGTACAAGGAGGCACCAAATACATATGAGGCACACGAATCTCAATTGATTTGTGTGAGCGCTGTGATACTGCCCGGGTGCCCAAACCGAAGCAGGTGGTTTTCTAAGGGGGCCACACCCCGAGCCTTCGACCTGAACGTCTGACCCACAAGGCAGTGGAGCATCGTAAGGAGATGCAGTCCCATGGTAGCCGGTGACCAACGATTGGTTCATACGCCATTTGTTCCCATAGAATACTGGAGCCGATGTGCACCATTGGTTTGAGATCCGGTTAAAGCGCCGGACATTCGCTTTTCGTCCTCTCATTTTCGTAAACAACATCCCCGCCACGAAAAGGCAGTGAGTAGGACTTCCCTGGCAGAGGCTATATACGCGTGGCCATGTGAGAGCATTTCGAGAGGGAGAGCGGACTCTCTCCACTCTCGGCCGTACCAGGACATTTGGGGGCTATTTATCTAACTCCTTGACATCATCTTTTTACTCTTGTATATCTTATTATTTGTAGAAACGTAGATTAATACTTTCTGTATTAGCTTCCATGGTAAGATGTTTATGTTAGCTTGATTTGTTGTCAGTAGATTTTTTATGTCGACGTTTTACGCCGCCTGAGGGTTAATTTTGTTAGGAGCTCAACTGTGACATTTAAACTACGTGAGGCTGTTTACATAACTTTCTGTAGGTAAAAATGTATGTCTGGAGGCTCAAACAGAAGGAACGTCTAGGAGAATTGTTCAACTGAGGTTTGATTGCCTTTAGGTTGTTTTAAATCCATTGTTAGTTTAAATTTAACATTGACACATGTGCACCATAAGAAATCTGAATCAACGCTATCAATTACTTTTGATGAGATACCTGTGGCTTAGTTGAATGATTTTAAACGGTCAGTGTAACTGACTATCACCTCCATTGTTCGCCGTCCCTACATCTACGATTGTATATCTGATGATTACTTGACCATTATTCGTGAACAAGAAACATGAAATGAGTAATTGCCACACGGTGGCTATCAAAATGGATAGGAGAATTACAGATATCTAAAGTGACAAATTTACTGGATATTTAATGATCCTTAGATATTATTGCATGCCAATAGGTTATACTGTATCTAAACTTGAGGGACATATTTCTTTTAAATGCTTTTGTGCATAAGTGTTTCGCGTTTCATTAAGAAACTCATTCTGATTCAGTAGCCAACTGCTCATTCACTTTGATCATCATTCAGCCTGAAAATGACAATGAATGTTGTGTCAGTAGTAGCCATGAGTCAGTTATATTGGATCATTATGTATAAGCAATCTACTGGAATTCTACTTATTTTAACAAAACTAAATGTGCTCATATCAAATTCAGACTTGATCCATTTATAACCAGTCACTGATTGTTGATCTGAATGATGTTGGGAATTATTTACATTGTTTCATATGGTGTGTATCAGTGATTTATTTATTAATTTGAACATAAATATGGGTACAAAGAGGCACCGAATGCATGAGTGCCACACAAGCCACTTGATTTGTATGAGCTATGATACTGCCCGGGTGCTCATATCGAAGCAGGAGGTTCTCTTTGCGGGCCACAACCGGAGCTTTCGACCCAAAGGTCTGATCCACAAGGCAGTAGAGCAACGTAGGGAGTGTAGTCCCATGGTAGCCGGTGACCAACGATTGGTTCATACGCCATTTGTTCCTTCAGGATACTGGAGCCCATGTGCACCGTTGGTTTGGAATCAGGGTTTTCTAACTCCTCTAAGTGGACTCTCTGTGTCCACCAATCCGGTTAAAGCGCCGGACATTCGCTTTCTGTCTTCTTAATTTCGTAAACAACACCCTCACCATGAGAAGGCGGTGATTACATACTTCCACTGACGTGGCTTAAAAGTAACCTATTTGATTGATTCATTACATTACATTTGGACAATTGTATAAGTCATCATCTCCAGCTACAATTATCCATCCGTCTTATATTTTTTAACCCATTTTTATCACCGATATATATATATATATATATATATATATATATATATATAATACCGAGAATTCGCATTGATTAAACAGTAAAACAAAGTCACTGAAGCTGGAGAATTAAAATTATACCCAATTTTTGTCTTGAAGTGAAGTTAAGGTTATCATAAAACTTTCCCTCCTATGCCCCACTGACAAAATAAATCAGATAGGCAATCTGAATGTACAATCAAGTCATATATCACCGAAAGCTTGAGTGTCTTGTCCCTTAAATTTACGTCAAAAAGGCTAACCCTATACTTTCTTGGTGATATACTAAAATGTTAGGATCTATGGAATTGGCATGGAAGTGAAATCCGACAGTTTCTCCGCTAATAAATACCACGAATGATGCAACACAACGTCGAAAACGTCACGATATTCGCAAATTATGACTCCGATCGTGGTTTAATCGGTATGACGCATTAGAAGGTATGTTGCGACCAAATGTCTTTTCCGGGGTAATAGGAGACGGGTAAACAATAGTCGAATTCGGTACATTATACGAAACAGCACAATTTGTTGATGTAATTGGGTTGCCTAGACCGCTGAATTTATATTTAAACGGAAACTAGAGAGATGATCTACTTTAATGTTACTTCAGTAGTCCATTGCCGCAGGAAATACTGGAATTACTGGAGTGGCTTGGTACCTACTTTATTTTAAGAATCACCAAAATAAGTAGTACCATTGAGTTAGTTTTCAAGACCATTACCAAAACAGAAAAATTTTTGATGACACTAAAAAAAAACAAACCATTTAAAAATGACGGTGGTTAGACTAGTGCTTAATTATCTTACGCCCAAGACAGATCAAGGTACACTTTCTGAATGTGCTACGGATTTATTGACTGTGTCTATGAACGCTATAAAACTTAACACCTGAGGTGAAATAAAGGTAGATGTGAACGATTGAGTCACTGAAGTTTAAGCTTAGTGACTCAAATATTTTAATCACAAGCTGAAACACAGTTATATCTATACAGATATGGGAATCTTTACATGAACAGCTGTCATACAAGTGTGACTTAGTAAGAATTTTTAGAGGCTGGATTTTAAAAATACACCTTAAATAAACTTATTGTTATATACTTTAAGCACTAGTGTAGATATCTAATGACTTCGAATTTGGAAGCGACCATTGTAGTTAAATATATACATTTCCTTCCATATTCTAAGTTATAAATAATAGTACAAGTTGAGTGACATGAAAAATAGACTTATCCAATTGTGGATTGACTAGTAACTCCGATAACTTACGTTAAAAATTGGGCACCAGAAGCGACCACACGTCTATAAATCCTTTTGCTAGGCAACCATTCAGAAAAGCCACAACTTGATACTGAAAGTTTCGGGGCTGATTTTCGAAAGACTGACAAATCTTAAGATGTGAATGAAACCTCTAGTAGTATGAAGTGTCTTGTTAGTCATAGTAAGCCGATGTACGTTAAATATCTATACGGATACATCATACTTCAACAACTTTCACCGCCGACATCACAGATGAAAAATCTATGATGGTAGTCTATTAGATTCTGTTTGTGATCATACTAGTCACAATAATTTCAGCTGGTTGATAATAACCGATTACTTAAATCCTAGACAGGGCTCAGAGACTGCATCAACTTGTGATTCTAAACGAGAAGTCAGGATACTAGCTTCTGTTTGTAGATTACTTGTGCTCATTATTTTACTTTGGATGAACTTTTCGATAATTGGATAGAGAACGGTAACTCCCATAGAACACAAAACGAATTTCTAATAAACCTACAAAAAGTTTTGTAAGTAAAATGACCATTTTTTTATTAGTTCGGATACTGAGCAATTAGCTTTTATTTTCCAAATGAATCAAATGCATTAGTAATTTATTTAGGAACTTTGAGGCCTTATAAAGCAACAAAATTATCTTAAGATAGAAAATGAAGGGAGTTTTATTTCCTTTGTCAATAAAACAAACCACCTACGAGGAGCGTCTGACGAACAGGCACTCAATTAAGTTTGGGAACCTGAATACCCCAAGGTCACACTTTAAACACCACAGGGTCATGCGTACATACAGAATGAGACAAAAATATCTTTTAACATAGATAAGAAACCACCCCATATGATTGGTTCCGTGAGCAGTTTTCAAAGGCCATTAGATCAAAGTCTTTACTGAAACATGGATATCGTCCGACACTACAGATGAAGTGAGCTTGCAGGGCATGACACTATTTTAGTAAGTCAGGGCACAAAAAACAGGCGGAGTGACAATGTACGTTGACAGCCACTTCAAGGACGTAACACAACACTACTGAATTTACCGAGTTGACGGTACATGATGAGGTTGCCTCAGTGTAAACAGAACGAACATCTTTATTGGAGGTGTAGCGGTAAATAAATCCCCAAAATAAATAGCTCTGTAAGTTTTCGAAATTGGATGCTGACCACAGTTTTAGTGGACTCATCTAGCTGAAGGCGCTGGGTCATGCATCCGCACCAGATCACGTGTGGCAACGCCGTGCTCAACATCTACTGCAATTGCTAGCCAGATTAGTTCAGACGATCCTCGATATATTGATAGCTTATCAAATATATCTTCGAACCTCCTCGCTTCTGTCTTTTGATTTCACTTGGTGGGTACGCTTCATATTAGAAGGTGTTACTGGTTAAAGCGTTGTCAAACTCCGAATACCTGTGGCATCTTCATTGGTGAGCCCGACGTGATCTGGTACACTAAATTGCAAACTGTGAGTCTGTTCCTTTTTGGGATTTTATATATCATTGTCTTATTTTAATTTCATATACATTGTGATTTTTTTCGTGTTTTTGGATATATATATATTTCCCACTCGTTCATTCTCGTACATCATATATCACTATGACTGAACAGACACCTAAGGTATTTATGTTAAAGACTGTGTCCCCACCTTCGTTCTAACTAATGCCTTTCTGGCCAGACAACGTCGAAGCCTGATTTTGCTACGCAGAAGCCGACTTCTACGAGCACGGCGTGAACAACACACGTGCACAATTCCTCGCAGTAGTCAAGGCACCACCGCGCGAATTCAACAGGTACGTAACACCTAGTATGTTTAATAGCGATGTTTCAGAACCCTACGAAACACTTAAACGCGGAGACCTAACCGATCGATAAAGGTTAGACCAACTCCTTAGCAACATCGACCTGAAACACGATTCTGCCACAGACACGTTTAGAAGAATGAGAGAAGTAATTGGCCAAAGAACCTTCGATGATGGCCTGTTCAAACAACTTTTCTTATCCAAACTTCCCCAGTAGGTGCAATCGGTGCTGGTCTCGTTTCAAAACAACGCCGTAGACGAGCTGTGTGCATCTGCCGACAGCATCCTTGAAATCACGAAATATTATAATGCCGAGGATTTTTTAGTCAAAGAAAAGCCTCAAACGACCCGGAATGATATTTCAGAGCTATGTCGTACACTTACAAGTTGTCTTAAATTTCGTAACGACCGTAAACGGTCACACGCCCCACGAAGAAACACTTCACGTAAGCGATCTGTCTCTAGACCACGAGAGACGGATAGCCCCAGCTGGTGCTGGTGTCATAACCAGTATGGAAAGTCCTCCACAAATTGCAGAAAACCCTGCAATTTTCCCAGCTCGAAATCCATCGACACCAAAAACGATTCGGGAAACTTCCGAGCTGGCACGCGTTAACGGCAATCGTTGCCGGCGAACATACCCGTCTGTTATGCGTCACAAATGTAACAACGAGGGTTCGCTACCTCGTCGATACTGGCACAGAAGTTAGCGTTCTTCCAGCGAATTATAACGAACGGCTTCGCGAATTGGTTTTAAATCTACAGGCGGCAAACGAAAAGCCTATTGCTACATATGGCAAAAGGTACGTTTACCTTTTGTTGTTGCAGATGTTTCCTACAGCACCGTAATTTAATCGTCGATAAGCGTAAACGGAGGCTAGTAGACGTAAATACTCACTTATCTGTCTGCGTAACATCTTTTACTGGTTGCAGATTATCTCCAGTCACAATTAAGCACACGAGAGATTAATTCCATCAACCACTACTCGATAAATATTCTGGGATATACCAACCGCAACCGAAGTCGCTGTGTGTAACCAGCAACGTTATACATCACATCATGACTACAGAACCACCCGTATTCTCTAAATCACGCCGATTGGCTCCCGAAACGCTGAGGTTGGCCAAAAACGAATTTGACCTTATGATAGACTTAGGAATCATACGACCGTCAAATAGCCCATGGACATCTCCATTGCACATGGTCTCTAAAAGAGACAGCAACGAATGGCGTCCAACTGGTGAGTATCGGCGACTGAATGCAAAAACCATTCCAGATCGTCACCGTTGCATCACATTCACTATTTGACGGCTGCCTTGAAAGGTAACACTGTCTTTTCGAAAATCGACTTGATAAAGCGTATAACCAAATTTGTATGGCCACTGACGATATTCCGAAAACCGCTATTATATCACCCTTCAGACTCTATGAATTTTTGCGAATGCCTTTCTGTATAAGGAACGCTGCCAAAACTTTCCAAAGGTTCATAGATGACGTTTTTCGAGGTCTAGACTTCGTACATGCGTATGCTGATGACTGCCTATTAGCAAGTTCGAACAGATAATTGCATCTTCAGCATCTGGATCTTGTTTTTGACCGACTACATAAACATGGCATTACTGTAATTATTCAGAAATGCCAACTCGGAACTGACTCATGAGACTTCCTAGGACACGCTATCGATGCGCAAGGCATCCGACCCCTTAGAACCAAAGTGGTGGCCATTCTGGATTACCCAGAACCGACCACCATCAAGCAATTACGCACGTTTCACGGCCTTGAAAGTTTCTCTAGACGGTTCATACCGAAATGCACGTCCCTTATGAAACCTCTTACCGACAAACTTAGTAGAAATGCGAAATCCATCAAGCTGGACGGCACCGCGCGAAAAGCATTCTCCACGGTTAAGGAACTTAGCACTCAAGCAACAATGCTTGCTCATCAGGACACCGAAGCGCCCATTAGTATCGCGGTAGACGCATGCGACTCAGCAATTGGAGGAGTCTTACAACAATTGGTTAACCACTCCTGGAAACCTTTGGCATTTTTCTCTAGACGGTTGCTAGACACTGAATCGAGGTACAGCACATTCGGTAGGGAACTGCTAGCTATGTGTTTTGTTGTACGGCATTTTTAACACTATATCGAAGGCCGACAATTCACTCTTTTTACTGACCATAAACCTCTCACCTCTTCTTTATGCTCCTCTTCAGATAAGTACTCACCTCGTGAGTCTCGACAACTGGACTACATTTCTCAGTTTACTTCGGATATTGAACACATTTCTGGAGCAAGCAATGTAGTCGCAGACGCCTTGTCTCGTATAACTTCCTTGAACAGTTTCCAAGGAATCGACCTTTTAAAACTTGCCCAACTTCAAAAAGAGGACACTGGTCTTCAGTACGAGTTGTCCTCAACGGCACTTTGACTGTGAATTAAACTGATGGGAACAGGTCAGGAAAACCTACAACACGGAGAACAGAAGCACAATCACACATGACGGGGAAATTTTGAAAAAGGCGGAAACTCTCACATCATCGATGAATAAGGAGGATCCGATGCAGACATAGAGATAGGTATCGGCAAAGTAATGACAACATTCCTACGAGTGAAGAACATATGGAACTCAAAACAACTGTCAACCAAGATCAAACTGAAAATCTTCAATATGAACGTTGAAACAGTCCTAATGTATGGATCTGAAACTTCGAGAACTACCACAACCATCATCAAAAAGGTACAAGAATTTATAAACAGTTGTCTAGAACATACTTTGAGGAAAACATCAAACCGCATTACGAAGCAAGCGCCAAGTTGGAGTCCTGAAGGTAAACGGAAAGACGGAATACCAAAGGAGACATTGGGTCAAGAATTGGAAGCATACATAAAAGGAATGAATATAAGCCGGAAAACATTCATCAGGACAGGGTTAAATGAAGAATGCTGGCAGGTATCTTAAGCTCCTTCACGAGGAGTGACAGACGTAAGTAAGAGAAACTTCTACCATAGTAAAAAAAAACCTAGGTTCATCTTTAAACACATGTAAAATATTGATCATGCCTGTAAAGATGACATGTACTGCTCATTATTCACATTCTTATATACTCACATTTACTCCCTTTGTTTCTATAATCAGTGTGTTGTCGTACATATCGATCTAGGTAACTAATCACTTAAAACCTATGACATACGTAGATTTTAATCTCGGCTGTATACTGCCATACCTCAAAGCGATGTCACTGTCTGACAACCGCTCCAAAGCAAGTCAGCACATATGCTAATGAGATTTTGGAGAACGTACTAATTGTTTGAGTATTTGTTTGCATCTCAAGTGGTTTCCAAGAACGTGTAACTACTCACTCGAAGGTACGATAATTGCAGACCTTTAGAATTCAAAAATATATCAGTCTAGAAACTTGTAGCAAATTAACATATAACTTTGGATCTTCACTGGAATATTTAATATTATTTGCACTGCGTTTAAATTCTTCTGTAGTCTTTTCTTAAAGCATTGTCAGTCGATATATTTGTAGATTAAGACCCAAATAACAAGAAAACGAAATGTCAACTGAAGTACCAAATAATAATTATAACGAATTTCATAGCAAACCTTTAACTTCTAGGTTTTCGGAGATATATTTCTAACTGCAAAATCAAAGTAGAGTAAGGCCGAAAATGTCCAAAATCTGAGTTGTGAACAAATAACTTTAAAATTTGAGTAAAATGAATGTATTCAGAACAAAGTGAAGTCAATGATATTCGCAATAATAGATGACAGCCAGTCAAACACTTTTAGTTCCACGTGTAAGTATTTAGTATGGCGTGTGATTACATTATACTGCGACGATCATCATTTCTATTAGTTAACAAAAAGCTATATGAGACATACCTGTTTAAACGCAAAATCAAATTGTTACAAATATCAGGGGATTTATTGTAGTAAATCACTGAGTTA